AAAAAAAAAAAAAAAGAAAGAAAGTCTCTAAAAACCAAACTCCAGCATGTCCATCACCTCACCCGCTATTGCAGGATGCTGGACGCTGCCCAAATCAGGGTGTTTGTCTCCACTGGCAGGAAACAACCAGTCATGTGATACCAGAACTGTGACCAGAGCTGGAAGAATACATCTTGTAATGTTTCGAAACTCCATCAAGTTTCATGGTTCATCCCAAACTTGGCCCATCTGAAGTTCAAGTTCACTTAATTTTGGAAAAACACACTTCATATTTAACAATAAAAATGGCAGAGTAAAGGCTAGGTTTTAAACTTTCTTGGCCTTAGCTTTTGCTGCAGGACACTGTCTTCATGAATTAGATATGTGAGGATCAAAGGTTCCTAAAGATACAAAGAGTTTAGAATTTAAAGGGAAAAATCTATGTATAAGTCATTTGAATCTACTGAATTCTGATAATTTTAAGAAGGTGCCAAAATTCCAAAGTGATCACCAGATTAGAGTCCTATCAAGGTCAGAAACCAAAGAACTATATCGAAGCTTTCTTTGCCTGTTTATAAATCATGACAACAATCATCATTAATGTCATCATTAAATGCCAGTTACCGTGGTTTCATCCCAAGAAGTGACGAATTAACATTTCAGAGATAAATCACATATTCACATGTCTAATTTATCTGTCCATTGTCCTCACCTGAATATGCTTTTCCAAAAGCTTTTGCTTTTAGAAAAAAAAATAAAATAAAAAACAAAGAAGAAAATATTTTATTCTATAAATAAAGAATAAAATGGTTGATTTGGTTCAATTATAACAACAAATGGTTCAATCATAACAATAAAATGTGAAAACAGAAAGGAATATGAACAGAAACAAGGTTTTAAAAGCAAGAAGCCATTGTTGGCTACTTACTAATAACTGGATTGAAGAAAGGCCTCAAAATGCCATTTTAAAAACTCATTCTATCCCTTCTTCAGCTTAAAAATAGAAAAAGCAGCAGCATCAACTTTCCTTCTGTAAGACTGCTAACAGTGAAAATTTATTGAGTACTTACCATGTTCAAGGCACTGTGCATCTTACATGCATTATTACTTAAATTAGGTTTAACAGCATTTTTAGGAGAAAGGTACAATTTTTATTTTCACTTAAGTGAAGTAACACATTAGCGAAAGGCCAATTGAGATTCAAAGCCAGTTGGTGAACCCTGGAGATCACACTTGCATCCTCTTTGCAGTGTTTTCGCCCCAGTCAGGAGCTATTGGCCAAGGGTCAAGGGCTCTATTTCTCCACCTATCCAATAAATTTCCTTGTTGAATTTATCCTGCCTGCCAGCATTTTCTTTCTCT